AAAAAAGAAAAAGTATACTGAACATTGTGTGAGCAATTCTTTTTTTTGTGAAAATTGTCCGAAAGTTATTAAAAATGTATGAGTGCAAAACTGTAACATCTGCCTTAATTTACATTTTTGACTGTTCGTTTTATTATTATTGTTGGATTGACTTCAATTCGTTATGAGAGAGCAAGTACAGGTGTACCAATAAGAATATATAACAAAAGTATGAATGTCGTTAGAACTAGGAAAGATATCGGCGGCTGATATAAAAAGCGTTACACCATGTTACAGTTTTGCTCGTCACTGTATGTAGTTACATAAAGGTACATATTAATAAAAAATTTAAACTATTAAAATTTATTGTTTTAATGATTAATCCCTATAGTCTTCTGTAAATATATAATGTGAATCAGTTTAAAAAATAAAATTGTCTTATTTGACTTCAAATGTTTGCTGCTTTTGTATTTTTCTATACAAATATGAAGTACTGTCTGCATTGTCTACTATAAACGTTCATACCTGTCGCAGAAACGAGCAGAAAAATAGAAAAATTTCAATTTTGTTCTCACATGAACTAGAATTTGGTATGCACACACGCCGCGAAATTCGGGAGAGTAACGTGAATATGGCGTCATGGTAGATTTGCCGGTGGAGAGAGCTGAGAGAGATCTATCAGTATCTATATGTTTTGCATATATATATGTACATGTATATTACACAGGCAATACACAAAATCTCCTATGACGTCATATCTCTGTCAAAATTTTCAAGAGAGAGTAAGCGGTATCACAATCAGCGCCACCTTCTGTATTCGTTTCACCATGCGATGTGACGGTATGTCATACTTGACATGTACAGACAAGTCAGCTTGTGTGTATTCTGCTTAACAGCGCTCTTTTACAGATTACTGATACTAAGGAAGTTCTGTTGTTTATCTCATTGAATAAGTTTGATATGTGGCTGGGAAAGTTAAAAGGGACCAACGGGTCGAAATAATCGATTTTGACTTTTTACCGATTCTTGTAGTAGATTTTACGCTCATTTTAATGCAACAACCGCAGCTTTCTAGCTCCATCAGCTTTTCAAAAATTCACTTCAAAAAAGGGCATATTTATAAGAAAACCTACAATTGTAAAATAAAGTACTTTTTCTCGAAAACCTATTTCGAACCATAGGACCTTTTTAACTTTCCCAGTCCCATATATTTTTTCTGTGCAACTTACATCATCTGCGTGAGAGTCGTATGTCAAATGGTTGCTTGAAAACGGATGTGATTGTACACGATGGTGATCACGTGTTTCTCGGGAGTATTCGCCTTGATATTTTTTCGGTTGTGGCGGCTGTTTGCGGCGATGTTGCAGACGGCTTTGAGATAGTGGCTGCTGTTGATACTGGCGAGAATGCTGATAATCGTATTCAGTAGCATTACCATCAAAGCCGTTGTCATAATCGTAGCCAATGTCGACGGGCGCAAATGCGTGTTCGTAAACGTGTTGGCCCGTTTTGGACTCACCATCGCTGTTATAATCATAATATTCATCATCATCATCGCCGTACTCAGTAATTTTTTCACTGCTAGTCTCTGTAGGCATGTGGCTACTATCAGACTCTAAGATTATACCTATAATATTATCCGTACTAGTGCCTACTGACTCCGAATGTTCCTCCACATATACCGTAGCGTTATCAGCATCTTCGTTGATGTGACTGCTTGAACTAAAAGGTGACTCTTCCACATACACCTCTCCATTGTGGCCAACATGTTTCGACTTCGCATGCCAGTTCAGTTGAATGTCATTAGCTGATGGCGCTGTGCGCTTTGCGCCACTGGAATTTGATTTTGATTGAATTTTGTGATGATTGTAATGTAGCTGCTGCCGTATTTTCCTTTGATGGTAATAATTTTGAGTGCTTTCGTTAACCTCGTCAAAGGTAATTGTGTGAGTCGATTTTTTTGTCACATATGTAGGATGCGGTGTCGGCTTAATCAGTCCCATTCCACCCGCAGCCGTCTCACGCCAAGCATGTATTGAGTTTTTTTTGAGTTTGAGTGCGAAGTACTTTATCCTTATAGCGCCGATGCTGATCACGACTATTGCGATTAAAGTGAAGATGATTTTCCAGCTGTGTTTGCATCCTTGATTCTGAATGTTTATGCCTACTTTGATATTGATTGTGTAAATGCTGACGAATGCTCCAACTTTCAGTTACGCCTGCAGTTGTTGATAAGTCTTTAGCAATTTCGGTCTTATCAACTTCAAAATGGTGCTGATGCCTTATACTGTGAAATGGTCGAAAGTGCGACAATACTGTTTCGGAATCTGAATATTCGCCACCGCTATCGTAATCATAGCTGGCGGCCAGCGGCTGGGCAAACTGCGGCCTAAGGTGAATTAGCACTACAAACGCCAATAGAGTTTGCATTTTTATTGTTTATAAAGAAATGAAAAGGCACACTGCGATTGAATGAAAAACTGAGGTTTAGGGTAGTGTTGGATCTCTTGCAGGCAATTTTGTTCTGATAGTTTGCTTAAGAGTTTTTCGGTTACATTCACGTGCTTCTTTTCCGCTTTTAATGGCTAAACAAATTTCACTTTGTCACATTTTTTTTGTGAACTATACACTTACGGTAAATTCTTTTCTCCCAAAAAATCTACCAATTCAAAATATGTTTATAAAACACTCAACCTTGCAAAAGTGCACGATTTTGCTTTATCTAGCTCACGCATTTCATAATATTGTCGGTTTAAGCAACCATCTGCTTTTCAGGCCAACCACATCCCCTGACATTAGAAAAAAGCTATCTTTGGACTTTTATTTAATTTGAAATAAAATAACACACTTCAATAAAATTCGGTCGTATTTTATCTCAAGAACGGGATCGACCTCTTCTATAGATTTTTTGATGCTGATTTGAAGTGAATTTACAAAATTTTTGAGCACATGCAGTTTTTGCCTTTACTAACAGGGCAGATAAATTGTTCCTCACTTTAAAGTGTTTTCATTTTCTTATCTTACCGGTAAAAATAAATTTGTTATTCCGTATAGTGAAACTTCACTACATTTCCGAGAGTGAAACTTCACTACATTCGTCATAAAATTTCAAAGGTTGGCAATGCAACATAAGCAAATATAGAGCAAGAGCAACTGCTAGCAAAAACCAAAACCTTGGTTGAAATATCTAATATATCTGACTCATGAACCAAAACCAAACCAAAATTTAAAGTTGGGTACAAATTTTAAAGGTTGCATCGGGTGAGCAACAGTTTATCGATTCGAGAAATTAATGCGCTGATGAGAAAACGAAAAC